ATGTCATGCTGATGGTGCGAATGCCATTGATACATGTGATGGCAGATGAAGCGACATCAGTGTTGAATATCTGTTTAAAGTTTTTCCGGAATGAAAAACACAAGAGGATTTCTGCAAACAAGCTTTCTGAAAAAAGATCAGAGATGAGTTAAAGTATAAATACAGGGGCTATAAAGAAAACAGGGCTAATTTATTTCCTGCTTCACAAACTTGAGGCTGGGGGTTTAAAAGAGAACAGGCTTCATATGGAAATTACCAGACAGGTGTAATAATGGAAATCCAACAGGATGTATTATGATGTTTCATTGCTGCAGGATCTTTCTGGCTTGAAATAAAGTTAAAAGAAGGTGAATGGTATTTTTAGCATGGGTGCATTTCTAGTGCAGATAAAGCAGTATGAAAAGATTGGATTTGATGGAGTAACATGATTAAGGGAAACAATTATTAACTAGAAAGCATATAACAGGCACTGCAAAGCATTGAGAAAAGTGGGGGGGGGGGTTGCTAAAACCTTATAAAAAGAGGTTTTACTGGTAGTTTATTACTTAATATTTGGTATTCTTTGCAAAAAAGTGGGGGGGGGGCTAAAACCACCCCCCTCCTCTGCGATGTCTGTATAAACTAGAGTTTTGGAAATTAAAATTCCCAATCATTAGAAATTTTTTTAAATAAAAGGCTTTTATTGCTTAAGTTTATATTTCCTAGACTTTTACTGTTTGAATAGATGGCATTAATTAGCTTATTGCTGATTTGAATCACCAGCTTAAAATAAATAAATCATTATCATCACTGTTATAACTGTAATGAGCCCCCAATAACAGTAGACTGATGTACAAATATTATGCAAGTAAACTTGAATCTGGGGTGGCCTGAAAGATAGATCTTCTTCATCCAAGTCCTTAAAAATTAGCTTTGATTTTTAATCTTGCAGTATGGGCTATTAGCTGATAGCGTGGGGCATACAGCCTCCAACCTCTCCCTTAGCACAACCCCTAAGTAATATGAATCACAGTAAGAAAAATGACAAACTCCACATACAAAATTGGACAATAAAGAAATAACATCAAGTTATAAATTGAAAGGGGATGTTAACTTACTCTGAGACTTTTTCACATCATTTTGAGCAAGAAAAGGCTGGCTTTCATTAACAACATTATGTGACAGAATATCATCATCACTAGCTCCCATTACAGGCATGAAGCCACTTGACTTGGATAAAACTACTGTTGTCGGTTTGAACCAGTTTTGTGCATAGTCAAGAAATGTACCAATTAGAACCAACAGGCCAATGAACCCAGTGATACAACTGAAGAAATTAAGAATTGCAATATGAATTATACCTTAAAAAATTTCAGAAATTTGTATGCAAATTCGCTGCAAGTATCGCCAAAGAATATAGCGACTGTCCAAAGATATCAGAAAGCTTTAAATTTCAAAGTTAATTTTATTAAAAAAGTGAGCAAAACAGCAAAAAAAGCCATACTGAATGAAATATTTTCCTTCCAAACTTCTTCAGTAGAGGAAATTTTATCTTTCGGTAAGAGAGAGAGCCACAGACCCTTGGATCTGTAGTCAGTAACCACTGAGCCATCCTCACACTTGTAGAGCATTTGTCACAGATTTAAGAAGACGAGCCAGAACTGTTAAATGTCCAAAAGTGGCCAAAACTTGAGCATTATAAGACATTTGACTTTCAAAGTGTATTTCCACATACCCTGAAGTAATTTCTCATATTAAGATTTTTGTTTCAACAAAAATGGAAAATTTTTCTCTAAAATATGTAATACTGTACTCACAAAGCAACAATGTTGCCAGTAGAATAGCTGACTGGGTCATTACAAAAGGCTGGCATTCCATATGACTGTTGAAAACTGTTATTACCATTGACTTGCAGTATTGGCTTTTTTAAAACTGAGAAAGGAAAGCAATGGTGATAAGATAGCTAAAATTTTATAAAAATACATTTCTTTTCAAATATTTGCATTTTCACACTATTTGAATAATTATGTGGTAAAACAGAATTACAAGAAAGTACTGTAATTGATTTATTATAAGCTGCCAAGATTACAGACGGCAGCAAGATGGGTTCTTAAAAAATGTATCCCCCCTTGATTCTGAGCTGCACCCACAAAACCATGCAGAAATAATTGGTTTGAAATAACGATATAAACCCTGATTGCGTACTTAACCATAAAATAGACATTACATTGTTCAACCGTCAACAATGTTGTTCAGTATTGGATTGTTTATTTAATGTAGAAGATGGGAGAAATACTTTTAGACACTATTGATGATCCAATAAGATAGCAGGAGCTTGGCAAGATCTGGATAAAATAATGTAACCTGCCCTTCTTTCTAAGCTACTTTTGATTAGAAGCCACAGCAAAAAGTGACAAACAAAAATTATAGGCCATGGCTTATAATACCATAATGATAAAAATAATACAGTATAAACTTCAGAACAGATGATGCATTTTGAAACCATTGTCCAATAATGCTTAAAATGAATTTCTTGATAAATTGAACTGTGACTTCAAATTTTAGTCATGAGGCTAGCCACAACAAACTTAATATGTTTTTGTATATCAAAAGCCTCTCACTGCTGGAAAAGTCTGACTTCAAACAAACAGATTTTTAGAGTTAATTTGGAATGAGATAAAACTTGAGATTGTAGACAGGGGCTTATGCTTTGCTTCAGGTATTTTTGAAGGTCACTTGGGCAGCCTCTGCCAGCCACCCCCTGGATGTAATTGTAGAAAACGTAAGCCTTTTGCAAAAGGGTGTTATGACATGTGTTCCATTAAAAATGGTTAATGTGATTAGTTTAAGCAAATATTTCCCTTCAATAACATTAAGTACCCTTTATAGGTATGTTATCCCCTGTGAACAATAGTATTAAAATATGTGCATAAATCATATCTAGCCTCTATTCCAGTTAGCACGTGTTGTAAGTCAGTTTTTTGTATGTGCGATTATGATGAAGATAAATATATTTTGAAGTCATTTTACGTCTCAATATTTGGTTTATTACACTGGTGACAGGAGTGTTTTGACCCACATCATTTTACAATGTCATCCTTTAACATAATTTTTTCAAAACTTGAGAAGTTCACCGGCGACGGGGACATAAATTTGCACCAATGGCTTCGTAACTTCGACAGATGTTGTGTTATTGCCGAGAAATCTGACGACCTCGTGGTTGGCCAAATTCTAATGCTTTGTGTTGATGGCCGTGCTAAAGCCATCTTGGATCAATTTGAAGATGAGAAAGGCAGTCCCCAGAAATACAGCGAGCTTAAGGAACAACTCGCCGTAGTTTTCGATTCAGAAACCGATCGCGAAGCTCACATGACTGCATTCGAACGCTGTATTCAAAAGATCGATGAAAGTGAAGAAGAATTCATGACCCACCTTTTACAGTTATTCAGAGCCGCCAATCCAAAAGCCAAAACTGACATTATAAACCATGCGGTGAAACGCAAGTTTTTACAAGGGATTTCTGATACACTTCGCAGAAATATATTCATCTTTTGCACCAACCCGTATGATGACAAAATTACCCATCAAGATTTGCTCAAGGCTTGCCGCGATGCATCAGTTCATCTTTCCTTACCATCTGCGACAATCAACGGTGCTATTGTCACTGGGCCTTCTGATGCTGTTTTAACTGCTGCAAATCCATCTGATACAACACTGGACGCCATTCTTGCCTTGTCCACCAAATTTGAGCAACAAAGTCAACTCACAATGCGGAAGCTTGATGAACAACAAGACCAAATCAATGCACTCAACCGTCAACTTCCGTTTAGGCCCTCACAGCAACTTCAACATCAGCATGGTGCCCCTGTTTTTCCTGCCCCGCAGAGCAACCGTAGGCAATCACGCAATGGTTTTCAACGCAATTTTGGCAGGGATTTTCAGCCTCGAAACGCAAGGCCAGATGGACGGCAACCTATTCAGTGCTATTTTTGCCACGGCTTAAATCATATCCAACGTGATTGCCTAGCTTACAAGCAGCAAGCTAATCTTCCTCAACAGTCGGGAAACTTTTGGGGCCCCCAGTAAAGGGTCATACTGGGAAAGCCGACAATGCTTCATTGACCCCCCAAAAAGAAGAATCACAATCTTTTCTACAGAGAGAACCTAATTTGCTTTGGCTAACAGGAACATTACATGGACAGCAAATTCCAATGATGCTTGATTCTGGTGCCACCGTATGCTGTCTTGCCAAAAGATGTTTCACTGGCAGTCCTTACTTGCAAAACCTACCATTACAGGGTTATACTGGCCCAGGTTTGCTTGATGCAAATGGACAAATAATGAAACCCTTTGGTGTAATTAAAGCCCCTCTTGTAGTAGGGCATCCTGCTGTATCTCACATTGTTGAATTTATGATTATTGATGCATTGCCTTATTCTTGCATTCTCGGTTTGAGTTTTCTAAATAAATTTACCAAATGGGGCATTGACAACTCCAAGAAACTCCTTCATCTAGATCAAACCATGGTATTGGTATCTTCTCAGCCTTCTCTTCAAGATAACATTGCTTTCATAACACCGAACAAGTACACAATACTACCCGGACAATCATTGACTATTAAGACAGTTGCTAATGGGGCCTCCCTTCATGCATTCCGCCCAGTTTCAGAACCGATTGCACTGATTGATGGACATGCACCCTTTGAAGAACGTCTGCATGTAAAGGTTGTTCCGTACTTACACAAGGTTTCTCATCAACACTCATGTGTTCCCACCGTCCTTGTTAATACTTCTGCCGTCGCAAGGACCATCAAAAAGGGCACCAAGGTTGCTCTAGGGACGTATGACTTTGAAGAATTCTCTGTTCTTCCTAAAGACACAATTAATCTTCTCTCTACTCAGGACACAGATAATTCTACTCAAACCTCCGATCCTATTACGATTCTCACTTCACAGTTGACCCACTTGTCTCCCTCGCAGTTTCAACAAGCCAAGAATTTACTGATGGAATTTTCTGATGTCTTCTCTTTATCAAACACCAAAATTGGCAAAACCAACGTGACAGAATTCGACTTTGATTTGGCTCATTCGACACCCATTTCAATGCCTTTACGCAGAGTGCCACTTCATCAACAATCCATTGTCAAGGAACTTTTACAGCACTATAAAGCTCATGGCCTAATTGAACATATTGATTCACCTTATCGTGCTGCTACAGTCCTTGTTGCCAAGAAGAATGTTTCAAATAGCTGTGATGTTACCGATCGTTTTCGACTTGTAGTTGACTATCGTTTTCTCAACCCTGCCATCAAAGATTCAGGTTGGCCTTCTCCATCTCTTCAACAATGTCTTGACTCTGTTCGCGGCTCTCAATATGTCAGCTCAATCGACTTCAACAGTGGCTACCACCAAATTCCTTGTGCTGATAGAATCAAACCGATCATTGCCTTTTCTCCTGGTTACGGTTTTGGTCAATGGACCTGGAACGTTATGCCTCAAGGTATCAAACCGGCCTCTTCTTTGTTCCAACGAACCATGGAACAAACATTTTCTGATTTAAGCGACTGTATTCTACCACCCTTCTACGATGATGTGGTTATTAAAGGATTAGATTTCACAGATCATCTCTCCAATGTTCGCAGAGTTTTAGCAAGAATTCGACAGTCTGGTCTCACTTTAAACGCCTTGAAATGCAAATTTTTCCAGACAAGTTTGCCGTATTTAGGCCATTTCATTGACAAGGGACACATTCGCCTTGACCCAGCTCGTATTCAGTCCATCACCGATTTTCCAGTGCCATCCAATGCCAAATCCTTGAAGGAATTTTTAGGCATGGCACAATTTTGTGATCGATTTGTTCCCCACTTCTCTGTTGTTGCTGCTCCTCTACACGAACTTGCAAAACCGACTTCAACGTTTGTCTGGACACCTGAAGCTCAAGCAGCCTTTGAAGCACTAAAGCAGCTTCTCTCTTCCGCACCAGTTTTACGAGCTCCTACAAGTACCGACTCTTTCATCCTAGAAGTCGATGCATCAGACAGAGGTGAAGGTGCATGTCTTAAAGCCCATAACACAAGTGATGGCAAAACATACATCGTCGCCTACGCCAGCAGAAAGTTCAATGAAACTGAATCAAGGTGGAACATTGTAGAGAAAGAGGCGCATGCTATAATTTTTGCTACCGAAAAATTTCGTCACTACCTTCTTGGTAAACCCTTTCTCTTGCGTACTGATAATCGCGTAACTTCATTCCTGCAATCCAAACGCAACCCTAAGAGTAGAAAATTGCTGAATTGGGCTTTGCAACTTTCAGAGTTCAATTATAAAATAGAACACATTCCATCCAAGAACAACGCCATAAGCGACTGTCTCAGTCGCATGCACAGTGTCAACTCACTGGAAGAATTACAACCTAATATTACAGTGGCTGCAATCAGAGATTTCCAAACAAAAGATCAACACATCCAAGCAGCAATCGAGTACATGTCTTCTGATAAACGAAACTTTGATGTCTGCCGTCTAGGTCCCTTAAAACCATATCGCAATAAACTTT